TGATTGGAGTCAGTTTATGAGAATGGGAGAAGAGGAATCGGGGGAACTGCGTATAGATGATGCTTTCAAGGAGTTTGCTACAAAGGGATGTAAATAACTGACTATAGCCTTTTCTGCCCCTCTGGCCGGCTACAACAGAGATCCCCTCACATTTTATAAAAGCATAGTTTATGTAGAACGTTTCAGGCCTGCCTTATTTCTATGAGGTAGATATGTGCTATCAGCATAAAAATAGGAAACTATATGAGATGATCAAATTCATTTCAGTTGCTTTTCCACCCAGTAAACAAAACTTCTACAAAATTAATACAATGAACACTAGAAAAATGTTTCAAGTGTCGCCTAGGTATCTAGACATGAACAAGGTGTAGTTTATACTCTTGAGAAACAAACATTTTTGTGGGAGAAGGCAAGTATGCATGTTTACTGTGTATGTATGATGACAGAGTTATGTGCAAAATGTGATAAAAGCCCAGGGGATATAGAATTAAGTTGACCAGTGCTAGTTAGAAAAGGCGACATACATAAAAGACCTGGCATTTGAACTTGGCCTTAAGGATAATCATAGAATTTGTACTGGGGAAAAGCCCTCTGTTAGATAATAATCCAGCTCTTGTTAGAATGCTTACAGTGACAGAGAGCTCACTACCTTATGAGACACATTCCATTTTAAGAACCTGTAGTTTTTACAAATGCATTTCTCCCATTGAGCCCAGTAATACCTTTTAATGCCTCTACTCATTGTTGCCAGTTCTCGTCTCCTCTGAATTTAATGGGCAAAGATTTGTCTTTCTACCAAATAAGTCATTTCAGTATTTGAAAATAGATATGTTCTGTTTGAAGCAATTTCGTTTCAATATTGAAAAAGGGAAAATGGATAGAGTCAAATCCCCACAGAAGCAGACTGAGTCTGAGGTTAGAGTGCAGTGCAGGGGGCTTATTAGAGGGTGCTCTTGAGATCAACACTGAGAGCGGGAAGGGAAGATTGGATAAGACTGCACACAAGAAGTGCAGGTGTGATGCAGTATTAGTGGACGCTCCAGAAATCCTGTGGGGGAATTCTGAAGCTAAACTGACCCATTGGAGTTGTCCAGAGTTAGGGCAAGAAGTCTTTACACCCATGTCAGCCAGTCATTCAGTGCCATTTACCCCCGGGAAAGGGACGTGGCTTTTGAGAAGTAGGCTTTTTCAGCTGAGGCGGAACCCAAAGGGATTGGGTGGGAGCCTATTGCTAGGGGCACTGCCAGACATTGGGACACTTAATTCTTTATTTATGAGGTGGATCGGTAAGGGACCCGGATGATGCAGAAGAGGAATCTTATGTACTGCCAATTTTTTAGGCAGTTATTTTCTGAGGCAGATAACAAGATGGAAAGCACTTCTTTTTGCTTCTTATTAGCAAATAAACACCACAAACATCTAAGTGATGGGGGTCCCACATTATGGTTCTAGACTGTTAGGGTCTGGTGTATAATTCTGCCTTTCCTGTATTGCTTATTTATCTCTGTTAGGATGGCCCTTTATTCAGGAATGTGTTAAAGATGCTCTTGAGGTGAGCTGAAGAAGTACATTCAGGTAATAAATTCGACAGGGACTCTTCACTAGGAGGTTACTGCTCCAAGGACCCCTGCATGTCGACATTTTATAATGACATTAGAGATAAAAATGTAAGTGGGGAAGCATAGTGAGCTGCAAACAGAATTATATCTCTGTCCTTCATCCTCGATGACTTGTGGTAATCACACTGCATGCTGGGTGCCTGCAAAGATGGATGTGTGGCCACCAGTCCTTTCCACTCTATGCACACATGAAGATTGCCCTTTGATTTGTGGCTATGGCCATAATTTGCAAAGCCTGTCACCATTTGCAACTTAGAGCTAGCCTAGAGTTTCACTGAAAAAGAGCCGTCCCATTCCTGATCACTGTACACCAGATTGATGTGTCAACTAAATGAATATTCCTGAATTACTCATTATACCAGGAAACATTGGCCCAAGCTATTCTTCTGTTTCTTGACTTCTGTTTGCCTTCATTAGCCTCCTTTGGATGTCAGATAAAATGGTCACCTAAAGCATTCTTACTTAATAAAGGATTGGCAAAATAAAATGGTTGTACTGGGCATTGATGGGGGCGGAGGAGCCAGGAAAAGGATCAGATCGTGGAGGACAATAGAAATGGAAGGTAGCCTAAGGATGTGGTGGGGATGATGGAGCCATATCCATTTTTCTCTTTTCTCACTCTCACTATGCATTGGCTTCCTTCACACAGTAGCTGGCAGTGTCCTTACGAGCCATTTGCAACTGGGGGAGAGAGAGTATCAAGAGAAGGCGAACAGAGGGGAGGGCCAAGCTAGTATTTAATAGGTTGGTTCTCTCTTGCATTTGAGCTCATTAACATGAGCTCGTTGACTATGGACCCCCGTGACTTTTGCATCTCTTGCTATGCATTTCAGCCAGCTGTGGTTTCATAGCACGTGAACGTTGCACGTGTTCAAGGACCTCCCTGTGTTAGGATCGGTTCATTTGTCACAGAATCCGTAGACCTGCTCTGTTTGCTGCTGGCATCCCCTTCATCCCAAGCTCGTACATCTTAAAGCATATTGGACAGTTTCTTCCCTTTGCTATAACCACGGGGCTTGTGGAAGCTCATGCAATCGTATTTCTCATTTGGGAATTCCCTAATTTTTCTTTGGCTGGAAGCATGACAGGAAAAGCAATGGGTATCTCTTTAAAGTGACAGCTATTCTAGGGGAGTTGCCTGCCACTGGGCTCCCTTTCCTGTCGTGGTCCTCTATAGGCCACTGATAATTCTTGGAATAAAGTTCTGTTGTTCCAGACTTCTTGTCTTAGTCCCTTCAGGCTACTTGTAAACTGGGTGGCTTGTAAAGAACAGAAATTTATTTCTTATGGTTCTGCAGTCTGGGGAGTTCAAGATGAAGGTGCCAGTAGATTTGGTGCCTTCTGAGGGCTCATGCTGTGACTCACAGAGAGCACCTTCTTGTTCTGTCCTCATAAGGTGGAAGGAGCAAGGCAGCTCTCTGGGGCGTCTTTAATGAGGGCACTAATTTCATTTATGAAGGCCTCACTCTCATGATCTTATCACCTCCCCAGAGGCCTCATCTCTTGATACATCAGGTAGCATCACCTTGGGAGTTAGGATTTCAGCAGATGAATTTGGCCAGGACACAGCGCCTCTGTATTATATAACCTAACGACAAGGTCACCTTTGCCTAAGACTTGTCCTCATGTGGTAGAAGTTCAGGAACAGGGACTGGCCAGGGTTTGGAATAGATACATACGATACAATTATTCTATTTTGAATTAATTGCCTTTTTTCTACTTGCCCATTCTTGGTACCTCACCCTCCCTGCTTTTCTGAATTGCATGGTTCTATGCGACTCCTCTTCAACTGTATCTTTAAGTCTAGAAAAAAGAGCCCTGTTGAGCACCATTTCACCCTTAGCAGGAAAAATTACTCCTATATGACCAGGCATCCAGGGTTTCCTTCTGGGTAGCCTATGGAAAATGTGAAAAGTTCAAGCTGTGAGAACAAACATCCCAAGCAGAGCCAGGGGGCTGGCAGCTCTCATTGCTGAATCAGGATTTCCGGATACCAGCTGGATATTTCCCAATCTGTATTTTTTTCAATAAGGGGTGCTGAAGAAAATACGAACAATTTCTCAGCTGCACAACAGTATATTCCTGAACCCAGAAACCACTATATAATTTTGTTTAAAAGCCCAGGTCTCTTGTAACTGTACTTGGAAGCTCTTACTGGAGGATAAGAAGGAACTGCCCCTTAGAAAAAGACACCGTTTTGTTAGCTGGATTGTTATAAAATGGAGATGAGCCATGGGGGCACAGAACAAGAAAAGAGGTACCATTACCGAGGAGGAAGTCAGGGGAGATAGTCAAGAGAGGAGGACGGGGCTGAGAGGGTGTTCATTTTGTGGTTTCACATTCATCTAGCTAAAGGTAGAGAGAAAATGCAGGGCTTGACACCTCTGAGCAGCAGGTGAAACACAGCTTACAATGGGAGACATTTAAAATGGCTTCTCCCTGGAAAGGAAGGAGGAATCAGAAGATGCTCAGAAGTGACAGATGGGTGTGTGTGTGTGTGTGTGTGTGTGTGTGTGTGTGTGTGTGCAATACCCAGATCAGACCGAGACCTGTGGGGTCCTGTAGGTCAGAGAGAGAGCGTATCTTCTATGTCTGCATTAAAGCTTAATCAGATATGAGCTCAAATGGCAACACCTTTAACGTGCAGTTAAGCGTACTGTTTGAACCGTGTTCAGTTCTGCATGTCTTATTACCAGAGCGGAAGTGAGAGAGCCACCTGAATGTGCTATCAATTTAACATTTACATGTTTATAGCATACATACTGATTGAATTTCACACTATACATACTTCTCCGTGATACCTGCACCTGAGTTCCATTCACCTTCTGGACCACTGAGCTTATCTCACCTCCATAGATAGGTTTATGTGTAGATCAATGACATTTTTTTGATCATTCACTCTGTGACCGAGTGATACACATTCACTGGCAAGAAATCCAAAATCCTTGAAAAATGGAAAGTATGTATGTGTGTGTATATGTCTGCATTAGCATGTGCATATGTGTTTGTTTAACTCATTTAACAGCAAAACCTGACCCGAACTGACATGAGGCCGTTTAGAGCCTTTATTTTACATTATGTGATTCTTCATATGTTTTGCTGTAGAAATATAACATATTTGATTTTGGGGAGCTTCCCTGGGATCTGGTGGTAGCCCCAGGGATTTTAGACAAGGTAAGTAGAGCATGGACCTAGATCAATTTTTCTCTGAAGTCCAGGAGATAATTTTAGGAAGAAAGGTATTGCAAATGTCTGCAACGTAAATATTTAAAAATAAGTAATGAACACAAATCTTTGTACCTACTTGGTTCAAAATCTCCATTTACCATCTTTGGTTTGATTTTTTTCTCTCTCTCTTTTTTTGTCCTATTCTTTTTCTAGGATGAATCCTCCATGTTCTTCCAGTTTGGCCCATCTATTGAACAGCAAGCTTCCGTAATGCTCAACATCATGGAAGAATATGACTGGTACATCTTTTCTATCGTCACCACCTATTTCCCTGGCTACCAGGACTTTGTAAACAAGATCCGCAGCACCATTGAGAATAGCTTTGTGGGCTGGGAGCTAGAGGAAGTCCTCCTACTGGACATGTCCCTGGATGATGGAGATTCTAAGATTCAGAATCAGCTCAAGAAACTTCAAAGCCCCATCATTCTTCTTTACTGTACCAAGGAAGAAGCCACCTACATCTTTGAAGTGGCTAACTCAGTAGGGCTAACCGGCTATGGCTACACATGGATCGTTCCCAGTCTGGTGGCAGGGGATACAGACACAGTGCCTGCGGAGTTCCCCACTGGGCTCATCTCTGTATCCTATGATGAGTGGGACTATGGCCTCCCCGCCAGAGTGAGAGATGGAATTGCCATAATCACCACTGCTGCTTCTGACATGCTGTCCGAGCACAGCTTCATCCCTGAGCCCAAAAGCAGTTGTTACAACACCCATGAGAAGAGAATCTACCAGTCCAATATGCTAAATAGGTGAGTGTGGAGCAGAGGGCACATTGATGGTGGAGATCAGAGGGGAGCTTCAAAGACTGGGGTTGGAAGTTCGGAAACCTCAGGGAGAACAGTTCAAGATGGCAGCAGGTTGAAGCCTGGCCTTGGGCATGGCAGTTGGTCATGATGGGGGTAGTGTTTTGGATGCAACCTTCCCAAAACAACTTTCACTTATTGAGCACCTACTGTGTGTTAGGTGTTTAACTGTTTGCATGCTTGGCGTCATTTAATCCTCAAAACAACTCTGTCAGTCAGGTTTTAACAATTGTTTCTATTTGACAATACTAGAAAATAGGCTTGGAGGCATAGGTTATCCAAAGTCATGGTGCAAGTGAGCGGTCAGTCTGGAGTTGAACCTGGGCCTCTCTGATCCCTGAGTACCACTTGATCACTAGGTAGGATGCAGGAGATTTAGAGATAAGGGAGGACCAGTCCAGTTACCTTTGGAATGTTGCTGTATTGTAGAGAAAGCGGAGAACAGGTTATGCAGGATCTGTAGGCATATGAAGGAGATTCTTTCCTTAAAGAAACAGGCTTGGTTTTTGTCTCTCTTGCTTCTCAGCCTCTGCCTTTAAGGGTGAGGCTGCTGATAAAGAGGCTGCTTTTATGGTTGCTCTTCGTCTGGTTTGTTGAGCAAGGCCTCATCTTGCATACTCAGCCACGACTGCAGCGTATCCCCCGTGGGGTGTTAAATGACTGTATGGGGTAGAAGATTCTATGCTATACTTTCATGGTTTTATTATGTGTATAAAACTTGTATGTATATACATTATAAAAATTCAGACTAAGTAGAACACAAAGAAGTGTGTTTTAAAAATAAAAATTATCTTAAATCCAACTAATTGGAGATAATCATTATAGAAACGATTAGTGAACATCTTTCTAGGTATCTCTCTGTGCATGTGCATTTGGATATAAATCTACAGTTTTACGTATATGGAAATATAAGAATATTTGCTGTTCGGTAGCTTGATTTCTTTCACTCGACAGTGTTTTGGACATCCATTTGAAATTATTTTTAATTGTATCAAGATGTACAGAAAGGTATTCAGAAAAACCATGTGCATACTCAGGTATTCACCATCTTGCTTAGTAAATAAAATATTAAAAGCTGTACTTGGGATGTTAAAAGAGCATAGAGTGGAGGTTGAATGGGTAACTTCTGGAAGGGAGCTGGGCTGCAGTCTGTAGAGTAGAGCTTCAATTCAGGGTTGAAACTCAAACCAGATTCACAGTAGTTATATTTGTGATCCGGTTTTGATATTCTTCCACCTTCAACTCTCTAGACATTGCTCTTTCCATCACCCCTAGGTATTGCCCCTTTCTTGGTACAGATTATCTTGGTTTTCCTTCTACATCTCTGGCTTCCTTCTACTCCAGTTCCATCTGGGGCTCCTTAGCACACCCGTGTTTTATGCATCTCCTAAATATGGGCACTTCTTAGGGTTCTGTCCTAGACCCTCTTCCTTTCTCATCCATTCCCAAGGATACAATTAATATCTGTATATTTTCCAAAGTGACATTTCTGACTGGAACCTCTCCCTTGAGCTCTAAATTTGTATCCTTAGCTGTGGCGAGATATGTTCCTTTGGGTTCCATGGGCACTTTGAACTCACAGTGTTCAAAGCTGAACTTCTGTCTCTTCTCCCACTAGTCTCCCACCTTCTCCTAGCCAAATCTTCGCTGTCTGTAAATTATATATCCTATTACAAAGTTACCTAAAATAAAAATTTCCCAGATGCCCTTGGTTCCCTATCCCTGACACCTCATGGTCAATGATGCTGTTTGCCCTGGATTTTAGTCCCCCCCGCCACACCTCTGGAATACTGTTCTTGTTTTCATCTCCCCTACAACATCCAGCCTGTTTTTTCTTACGGGAATTACTGCAGGGCTTCCTACATGATCTTTCTCCTCACAGTTCTGCTGCTTTTCCATCTACCTTGCAGCCAGGGTGATCAAAACTAAAAATGTCATTTCGTCATTCTCCTGCATAATACGTTTCAGGGGCTTTCATTGCTCTATAATGAGGTCCACTCTCCTTAATGTGGTTTATAAAAGTCTTCAGCCTCATACGCCCTGCCTATCTTTCCAGAATTCTCTCGTGCTGTTCTCTGCCTTGCACACCACCTTCCCGCAACACTGAACTTAGTTTAGTTCTTTGAAAGCACCATGCTCTCTCTTGCTTCCAGCTCTTCCTCTCTCTGCCTTAAAGTTACTCTCTAGTGTGCCTCTTCCCACCAAACGCATGTGCCGATGTGCCTTTACCTGCCTTATGCGCTTCATTCCCCAGATCCCTCAGGCTTCAGTTTGGGCATCACTTCTGCTGGGAAGTCTTTCCCGAGGCTTGGACTAACATTGTGGCATTCTATGCCTTTACTGCATCTTGTACTTCTCTGATAAAGCCACTCTTCAAACTGTGGCAATGGCATGCTATGTTATCTCCCTTCCCTGTGAGCTCTGTGAGAGTAGTGACCTTCCCATTGCACTCATTTCTCTGACCCCATTTCCCACACAATGCCTGGCACAGAGAAGTGAATGGTGCCCTCCAAGACTCAGGGCACACCTGCTCTGCAGGAGCCTTTCTGTTCTGCTGTCTTTACAAGATAATAAAGATTCCGTTGAAGAAGGTACTGTTGATTCAGTTCTGTAGATTTGGTTTTCCTCCCACTGTTTTTAGTATTAAATTCAAATCTGATTCAGATTATTTTCCTAAATGTTTGCTACTTAAAACCAAAGCTAAGAGTTAAGGACTACGGAGGCTAAAACATCTGCCCAACAACACAAAGAAATCAAGTGAATGTTACCTTAACGTTCATAAAGTATGATCCAGGAATGCCTGCTTTTAACTTGAAACGTCCGCTGGGTAAACACCAATCTGCAGATATTGTTATTTCCTGCTTGGCTTATGTTACATTACAATGTAAATGTCATCTCTGAAGCCTGAGATGTCTCTGAGATCACAATTGGTTTTAACCTTTGTTGTCATGTCTCTGAGGCCTGAGATGCTCCCGTGTGGCCACCGAGGAAGGTGGCTCTACTCAGTCCAAGAGCTTATTGTCAAGACGGCCGCAGAGGCCCATATCCGTCTTCTCCAGTGTAGCAGTCCTGCAGGGAACAAGGATTACAGTGTAGATTAGTCATCAGTTCTCAGGCACCGGTGTAGAGCAGAGAGATTGAGAGAGAGAAAGGGAGTCCAGCTTCACTTGATTTCCCAAATGTACTGCTTAAGAAGTATCTTCAAATTTACCTACCTACTCCTCCACTAAGGCATTTCATCTGCAGACTGCCCCAGTTCCCTGCCTTTTCTTGGGTTCTGCATCTACCTGCCTGCTGGACATCTCCCCTGTCCATATACCTCCATCCTTCCCCTGTCTCCTTTGTCTTTCTTTTCCTTCCTCTCCATCCAAATACAGCTTCTTCTAGTTCTTGACTCTAATCCTTGCCTGTTTTGAGAATATTTTAATGTAGTTTCCTATCAGGACCCAGAAAGGATTGGGGTTGACTAACACGGTTTATAGAGTTAGCCCCAAATTGCAGTTTTATCACTGGGCACAGCACGCTCAAAAGCAGCAGTGGAATTCAGTTAAGCACAGTCAGTTCAAGCTCCTCCTACTGACCCTGGTCTGAAATCAGACTCTCCACCCGCTTCAGAGCTCTGGTCTCACTAGGGTCACTCTTTTAAATAACAAACCAAGCAGCCACACCATTTAGCCACAGCAGGAAATCTTTGCAAATAAAATTGCTGCAGATGGCTGGTTGTTTTATAAGGTTGACTTTTCCTTTGGCCTGCTGCTTTCCTCTCAGCAACTGCAGTAAGGAGGAAGGCTCTCTGGGAGATTTCTGGGAGTGGCCCAGCCCCAGGATGGCGAGTTAGGAAAGTAGCTTAAGGCAGTACCAGGCATAGCCCCTTTCCTCCCTAGAAGCATTGTAGGGGGAGGTACAGCTCTTGTTCACACCTCTCCAGATTGTGGCTTTCTTTCTATGTGGGGGAAGTTCTTAAGTCTAGACTTCGGGGAAGGAGAGAAAAGGTTATATGATATACCTCAATCCCAAAGAGAGACAGACACGTATTTAAAGTAATTCACTTGTCAGTTACCAAAGGAAGAATATATTTTATGGCATAAAATCATTCTCAGAGAGGATCCTCAAATATACTATTTCAATTCACTATCAAATGAATGTTATTTATCAGGCATTAATCCCAATTCCTCACTGATAACTTCTTAACCCCTTGAAGCTTGGCCCTCCATAGACTTAGTGATTATTTCCAGGTAGCATCTGGGTTGCCTGGAGAAGGCATTTTTCCAGGGTTGCAAGAAAAATACCTAAGCCCAGTTAAATTTGAATTTCAGATACTGAATAATGTTGTTAGCGACATACTTATATCAAATGAATATTTGTTATTTACCTGAAATTCAGATTTCATACGGCTCTTGTATTTTTATTTGCTAAATCTGGCAACCCTACTTTGTACACTTATAAAAATTAATTTTTTATTGGAACTTCATAGCATTCATTTGTGTCTTATTAATAAATGAAATATGATGCCCTATTCTATGGCCCAGGACATACTAAGCAAGTTTTCTTCCAACTGAGAACTTCATTTGATTGAAAGAGCTGGAGAATTTCTTATGCTATATATTCTCTAAGGGAAGATTTTCTTGGTTCTTGAGAAAAATCCGAAAACATTTTGGCACCAGATGATTGGAAAATGTTTAGAAAATGATTAGATCAGTTGTCCAAAACCATCTTTATCCCCCTGAGCTGGGAAGAAACTGTGAGTTTTTAGCAGGCACCTGTCTACATTTTTCATTTATCATTTTTCCAAGGAGCAGTGAGTGGTTATTTTCCTTCTCCACGTGCTCTGTAATGCTCTGATGGTCTGCTTCTGTCACTCACGTGAGGGCACACCTGCCACACACCTCTGTGGTCTCTTTCTGTCCTGAGAACCCGCTGCTTCTCTTCATACAGAGCTACTTTTG